CTCCTGCTGGCCACACTATTTCTGATACAGGCCAGGATGCCATTGGCCTTCTTGGCCACCTGGGCACACTGCCGGCTCATGTTCAGCCGGCTGTCGACCAGCACCCCCAGGTCCTTTTCCGCCAGGCAGCTTTCCAGCCACTCTTCCCCAAGCCTGTAGCGCTGCATGGGGTTGTTGTGGCCGAAGTGCAGGACCCGCCCTTGGCCTTGTTGAACCTCATACAGTTGGCCTCGGCCCTGTAAGCACAACTCATTCAAGAACTGCAATTGCACCAGGCAGTGCAATTAATCATTCGACCTGAAGCCTGGAGTGCAGACATACAACCAGTGTCCAGTTTCATTTTACTTCTCAAACTGATGGATAAAACGCATTGTTCAAGATAGACACTAAATAAGACCTCTTAGCAGAAAACCACCACCACCTCGAAAGACTTGAGGCATCTGCTCCTTCTGGTGCAAACAGCTCCAAGCACCATCTACGCACACAATCTAATTCAACACCAATGCTGGTCTGATGAAATTGGTTCTTCCAAATATGCAAGAAGCAGCTTGGAGGAAACGAGTTGGATTCACATTTTGGAACTAGGGAGAAGAATCAAACGTCTTTAAAATAAATTTCTGGGAGTGAATGAGAAGGAAATGGGAGATACACACAAAAGGAGATTTTGGAGATGTTGCCGGTCTGAAGGTGTGAATAATTTAAAGAGGTCAAACAGTTTTTTGAAACTGTGAAGGGACTATGAAACATCACAGGTCTGAGATACTGTGAAGCTACTGGCAGAAAAACATATTTGATGCAGTGGCGGAGAAAGACCTGTGCTCCGGCATTTCAATTGTAAGGAGCTTGCAGCAGTAATTACAGCAAATCACGAATGGATGTTGCTTAGTGATATTCACGTTGGGTTTAAAAGTTTAACACACTGCTGTGCATTTCATTAAGACTTGAAATGTATTGCTTGTTACTCATTTCTACAGTTCAGATGCCGGTAGCTGAGAGGTAACCATAGCAACTGGCAAAAAAGCTATATGTTTGCAAGTCAATATTATGACAGAAGTGCAGAAGCAAAGCAAGGCGAGAACTGTCGCGGGAGCCGGGGCAGCGGCGAGGGCGATACAGCACAAGGCCACCTTCTCCCAGCCCCGCCGAGGACGGCACAGACCCACACCACCGACGGAGATGCAGGTTCCAGCAACCCAGAGCAGAAGGTATTATCCGAAGCGGTCCGCAGTCCCCTCTGCCAGCCGGCGGCACGGGTCACGATCAGATGTAAGAAAGAAGAAACTCTGCAGCTGGAAGGACTGAATCATGTCGGGAGACGTTATTGGTGCAAAGTGTTATTATCTTTTAGAAACGCTGAGCTTTAATCATGCGAGGACTGCACCTGCGGCTAGTAGCAAACACATCTCTCGAGCATACCAGGCTCTCCCCCACAATTCACACCAAGTCTAGTATCACTGAGAGCACTTAAAAACAACTAGAATTTCTTCTGCTGATGAAGTTGAAAAAAATTTTGTGAAGCCATTCTGGTTTTGTTGTTGTTTTTTTGCCTTAAATTCCACAGTATCCAGCCAGATTTATACTAGAGCTGAGATTTAAGTGTGCACACCAGCAAATTAAGGTCAAATATCTTATAAAGAAGGTTCAGCTACCCTAAAAACAAATAGAAAAATCGCGGTCCAAACAAAAAAGTAATCCAAACAAGCTAAGCTTATGGAAATGCACAGATCAGGGATCCAAATGTTCTCAAATTGTGCTTTACTGTGTGATATCTGGATCTTTGTAAGTTACTTACTTTGTAAGTAAGGCATTTTAACATGCGTCTTCTCAGATGAGATTAATTGATTTCTGATGACTTCATGTTTTCCATTTGTCCTTCTTACAGTGAAACCATGAAGGGAAGAGTTAAGAGGCTGCCTAAATAGCTACAAATTGATTGAAAACAACGCTATTTCATAAACAGCCTGGAGGGCTGCTGTTCTGAAGCCAGTTGAGGGGTTACCTAATTCATTAACAGATTCGTAATGACTTCCCTGTGTAAGTTATTACGGGTGCCAGGGTTTGACAGAACTTTCTTTTCCGAGAAACGCAGCACTTGGGGATGCTAGAAATGCACTGCAGGTGGCCAGACTTGCGTGCTCTTCCTGCACAGTGTCTCCTGGTGCAACTATCCGGTACAAAATACTGAACCAGACTCGTGTCTTGGGCACCTCATGGTTTCTTTTGTAAGCGTGGATTTAAAAGCAGACATTGCGGACTCTATTTAACCATAAAGATTTCAGTTACAGTCAAAACTAAAGTATACTTTGCCATTTTGTGCCTACTAATACATCTTAAAATTCCAAAACTCTGCATCATTACATACAATAAGAACTGTTTTAAATAGGCATTAATCAGAAGACCCTCCAGACATACCCTACCTGGTCTCCTACCTGATACTGCCTGTAGCGCACGCCTTACTGGGAGGTTAAAAAGAAAGGGAGAACCATAAATGTTAAAATATACAGAAAAGCTAGCTGGCCGGGGTGTGTTGCCAGCTGAGATGGGAGAGACGAAATTATGTTAGAGCCTACACGAATGTTTTGGGCTAAGCTAAGAGGACAGTACATTAGCGAGCGGATGGAAAATCAGTTGTTTAATTCCTGAAGGAAAGAGCTTTTTCACACTTTTAAGACCAGAGGGACATGATACTCCACTCCCACGCTGCGGAAACGCCTGCTGAGAACAGGGTTGGGAAGGAAGAAACGCTGAATGTCAGAGTGAGCGCTGAGCAGAGAGTATCAAGCTGCGAAAGAAAAGGGTAGAACAGACGCCGCCTGCCTTCTGGGTCCAAGACTGCAAAAACCCAGAGGAGTTACCTAGAAGAGCTGAGCTGGAGAGAAGACAGAGAAATCAAAACACACCATGAGACACAAGTGAATGCCGTTCACATCTGCAGACATAAAACAGTTTTGCTTCCCCCGGCAATACGCTGAGCTAAGGATAACTATGTGGAACTGGGGAAACACATGGAGTTTTTACGCTCCTAAAACTCATTTGGAAATAGCAACACACCTGATTGAGGAGACATTATGCTCCTTTTTTCTCTTCTTTTTCCCCAAGACAAGCAAATCGAAAAAAGACAAACAATTCTGATGTCTTTTGAAAAAGATGTCTAGATTAATTCATAGATATAAGTGAATATTATATCTGAATATAAAACAAACACACAGATTCATAGAAGAAAGTTGATAGACTCCCTGAATTTACTCCAGAAAGAAAATGGGAATAGTTTGACCCCTTCTCTGAAGAAATCCAACATAAACACCATGAACCAAATCTGGTGTGGAACCCACAGAGGGCAGGGAAGAGAGGAAGGACATAGAAACTGTGAGAAAATTAATAAATTTGACACAGGAACAGGTCTGTTCCCCCCCAAAAAGGCTGTGGGAAGTAAAGGATTATTACCAGGCTCTATACTCAGATGCAGAAAGAAGTAAGGCAAATTATTTATATACCTCTCCAGAGCCACAACCACCTTAATCTGCATTTCTGTTTTTCCATGAAAGCAGCGAGATACCTACTTCTGGTGCATTTATCTCCCTTAGATTTGCTCCCCCAGCCTGCTGATAAGGACTGTCCCAGTGCAAAGGGTCACTGCATTTTTCTGAAGAAAAGGGAAATACAAATCCCCAGCTATTTGGGACTCTAGCTCCAGAGAAAGGGAATAAAACATTCTGTGCCTTCTAAAAGGACCCAATTCAATCACTGCTGGTCGTAATATCCATGTATTTTTTCCTAACCACACACACACAGATGATGTGTGTCACTCAGCTCTTGCTGCATCAGCCCGAACAGCGACGTATGGCTGGATCCGGCCAGGGGGGCTGCTATGAGGGGCAGAAGAACAGAAAGAAGCACCGGCAGCACGCCTCAGTCTTCTCAAATACAAGGATGATCGGGAACAGTGGAGGCTCCATATGGCATATAATGGTTTGCAATCTCACACTAATTGGAGCCAAGAACACATACTCTCGCAATCGGTCGCTCGGAAGGTTTCTGCACGGGGAAAGGTCGCCGAATTTGGCCCCGCCAGGAGGAGCTGAGCACATTCGTCAAGTCCCTCAGGCTGCGTGCATTGCAATTTTCCACTTTTTTCAATATATGGACCTTCAGAAGTTCCTCATATGTAACTGCTGTTGGAAAAGGTCCCCGGGGTGCTGGTTAACAGCCGGCTGAACACGAGCCGGCAGTGTGCCCAGGCGGCCAAGAAGGCCAACGGCATCCTGGCCTGTATCAGAACTAGTGTGGCCAGCAGGAGTAGGGAAGTGATCGTGCCCCTGTACTCGGCACTGGTGAGGCCGCACTTCGAATACT